ATTTGTCGAATAACTTCAATCCAAAACCAAGAAAGTCAGACATCTTCATGTGCCTGAATCTTTCATTTGTTAGAACATATATGTTTAAGCTATTAATAAGTACAAGCTTGCTCTCAGTTATAGGATTTGTCAAACACGAAAGCTCTATTAACAACTCTTAGACAACATTTGAATAATAAAAACAAGCCCTAATTACAAAAATTAATCATATCTTAAACTTGATTTGGTTGGTGGTCTTCATATTCTACCCATATGAGGATAAGGGTACATATATGACCGTCCAAACTGGTTGTGCATCATCTACGTTACGTTATAATCGGTAACTCATAAATCATTATAGAATGCATAATCATAAACCTTATCCCATTCTTTAAGCTACTAGGATCAATTACTTCTCATGATAAACAATTCTTCTTCTCTTTATGGACTTAGTAACCCGAGTTTTTTCATATGAGCACATGAACTTTGAGTTTTTTATTAGATGAATACATGAAGTTCTTGAACTTCTAAAAAATCAAACACATGACGAACATACACAAAATAAGTGACTAATTATGTATAAAAACAAAACATAAGTGATTAAATGTGCACAAAAACAAAACATCATTGACCGAAAAACATATACTAGCCGGTCATAATGATATTTTGTGAACAATCCAAACAAGGTAAATGGTCATATGTGTACAAAAAAACCTAAGTAACTAAATGTATATAAAAACAAAACTATGTTACCCTTGAAAATCATTATCCCTTTGAAAAAATTATATATTAGGGTTGTTATACATTAATAAGCTAACAAACAGTACTTTAAATAACCAAAATTTCAAACACCCCTAATAAAACACAAAGAAAACTTGAATGACTAATTTTGTAAAAGAATTATGTATAATAAATATACCAAATGGTTACTATTGTTCCTAAGAACACATCATCTATATTATTCTAGTTGGTCTACATAGTTTTAAAATACATGTAATGGATCCCTATGTGACAAAAGTTATAGAAATATTATTTGTTTTTTTTTAATTCAGACTCATGGTAGCTCTAATCAGTTTCAATTCTTTTTATTTTGTCCTATTTTTAAATTTTCACAAATTTGGTCCAAATTTTCTTTATAGAAATATGTTTATAAAACTTAGTCTGTTTTGATAAGTACTTCTTTTACATCTTTTTACAAAATTGATTTTTTATCCAAAATTACTATTTTTATATATTCACTTTGATGTATATTTTTGTTATTTTTTTTTCAAATTCATTTTCAATCTTTTACGTACTTTTTACATGTATGTAGGTTGTGAAACATATAAATATTACTTTCTTTTAAATATTCGATTTTAAACACCATTATGCATTTTATTTGTCATGTTTGTAATCGTATTATAATAACTTTTGGTGTAGTTAGTGGAGTAATAAAAGTACAATATTATAGTCGTGTATATGTATGTGGTTGTATATGTGAGGTATAATGACTTAAAAGAGTAATATATTTTTTTTTATTTTTATATATTTGGTCACTCAGTTTCTTTTTATCCATATTCATCCCTTTAACTAGTTTAACTGTACACATTTAGTCTATATGAACGACAACTTTAGGTAAGCCAGAAAAATGACTTAATAGGGTAATTTTTTTTTTACTTTGTATACATTTAGTCCTTAATATTTTTTTTTTGCATATTTAGTCATTGATATATTTTTTGTTACAAAATAAGTCCTTGTTGTTTTTGTATATATTCAGTACTTATGACCGGTTTCTTTAAGCTTTTCTTATGGTATCCTATGTGGTACAATCATTAAGGATATGTTCGGGGCTATTGAAGCTTATAATTGCTATGTCCTCGGCTGCTTGGTTGCTTAACACTTGTGGTTTGGCTTAGGTCTTGTTTTGATCATCGTGACTTCTTCCTACGATCTCGAATTTTAAGGATCTTTTATATCCATGCGTTCGTATTTAAGTCTACTACAATTTTCGTCTAGATTACTCCCATTAAAAAGTAATACATTTTTACTTATGATCTTTATATACATGCGTTCTTTATAAATGTATGTATGAATGGCTTTTTATAGAATTGTAAGTAAAAATATACTATTTTTTAATAAGAGTAATCAAAAGAAAAATTATAGTAGACCTAAATACGAACGTGTAATTATAAAAATCGTTAAAATATGATATCGTATGATGAAGTTATGACGTTCAGGAAATAAGACCTAAGCAACAAAACAGTCATAACTGCAGTGGTCATAAGAATCAACATCTCTGAACACCTCATTAATGATTATCTCAAGTAGGATATCGTGGGAAAAACCTAAAAAAATCAGTCATAAGTACTGAATGTATACAAAAACAACAAGAACTTATTTTGCAACAAAAAACAAATATTAAGGGATATATATATATATATATATATATATATATATATATATATATATATATATATATATATATATAAGTTTAAGGGGAAAATGTGGACGAAAAAACTCAATGATCATATGTATATAAATCGAAAAGTATATTACCATTTTAACTCCTTATTGATGTCTATACCCTTAAAATTTTTGTTTTTTAAATGATTACACATCTAAAATAAATCTTCTAATTCTTGAAAACCCTCCTCTAATCCCCACACCTCCTTTTTCATGTTTACTATTTTTTTATTCCTTTTCTTTTTCATTATTGTAATAAAACACATTTCTCCAAATATATAATGCAAAATATATGATCACAAAATACAAATAATATATAGGGAAAATGCCGTTGTAGCACATTAAACTTTAAGCAATTGTCTAATTTGGTTACTGGACTTTCTTTTTCCCAATAGACCATTAAACTCATTTTTTACATATCAATAAACCATTTTGTTCAAATTTAACAGGTTATCTAGTAAAAAAGCTAACGTAGCATTAATAAATTTTTTTATTATTTGGTAGTCGGATAACAATTTAACCCCACCTATTCTTACCTTTGCAGAAAGTGTCACCACCTTTGAGCTTTGTAGAACACCAACTGCATCATCTTAATCAACTATCATCGCCATCCTCCATCTTGCATCGACACTCATTTCTTCCTCTTTCACTTGCCAAGGATTTCTGGTGAAGTTTGATGTTTTAAAGAGAGAAAGCTTATACAGAGAGAAAATTAGAACTCTGGTTGATTGTTGAAGAAGATAAAGACATGTGAGCTTTGTAAATCCATCAACATTCCCATTTTACAACATTACAACCTCCCGCTCTTAGTGTTTTCACAAGTTATATCCTTTAAGTGAGATTTAATCGATATTGTTTTTTTTCAACACATTAACGATGTCTCTGTTGATTTGATGTAAGATTGACTTCAATGCATTTAGTTTGTGAAGCATTTTGGATTCCTGATCCGTTAATTGTAGGTGAGTTAGAGTTTCGCAGATTGAGTTCATTGGTTGGTTCACAAGATCGACTTCATGGAGGAAAAAGGTAATTATGAACCCAAGTGAATCACCAAATCTTTATGCAGACAGGTTTTCTTCTCATGCGGACCTCCAAGATCAATTTTTGGTTCGATTTTTTGTTGTTCTTCTTCATGTATGTCGTTAATTTCTCATTGTTCTTCTTCAATGTTTTTTATTCTGATTTGGATGTTCGATTTAGGTTCTTTGATTTTGCTTTTGGTGTTTGATTTTAGGAGTATAACTCTATAAGTATTCAAGGAAGAATATGCATATGCTATAATTTTTTGTCGTTCTTCATTTTTTTTGTATCCAAATCATCTGATGTTCTTTTTTTTCTGGATTTTGTTTAGATTTAGTGTTCATTTGGGTGTGTTCGTTGAATGAAGATGAATGGTGGTTGTGATGGGAGGTGGACATAAGGTGGGTGGCAGACGATGGTGGTGGTGGGAGGTAAGAAGTGCAAGGTGAATGATGGTGGTGGTGGGAGTTGGTTTACAAGAAGATGAATTGGGGGTTGGAAGAAGATGAATGGTTGATTGTTGTACACACAAACTAGTCCAAATTAGGGTTTTATTTATTTAAGTAGTCGGTCTACTTCAGCTTCTTTGACACGTCAGTCGTCCATGTAATAGGTCCACATAAGCATATTTAACATGTCACTTTTCCATGTAGGAATGCTAACCGGATACCCTTTTAAATTTGAGAATAATGTTTTAATTGACAGGTAAATAACGAATCTAAGACTATGTTTGGCAAACTAGCTGAAAAGTTAGCTGGAAGCTAAAAAGCCAGCTGATATCTGAAAAGCTAGCTAATAACTGAAAAAGTAGCTACTAGCTGATAAAAAATAACGTTTGGTAAAAACTAGCAGATAAGCTAGCTGAAATATATAAAATGACGTAAAATGACATTTAGAAAAATACGTTTTTTTTGTAATTAATTAAGGGTATATTTGGGAATTTTTTAAAAAGCTCCTAAAAAACTACTCAAAATAGCTTTTTAAAAAGCTAGCTTATCAGCTACTTTTTGACTTACCAAACATGATAATTTAAAAAAGCTCGAAAAATAAACTAGTTGTGGCATGCCAAACACAACCAAAGTTACTCTATACTACTCATAATTTCACACATATTTTAAACAAGACTTGAACTATAATAGTTGATTAGTCATCTGCCTAGCTAATGTGATTTGGAGTTTCTTCTACTTTGATTATAGAATTTGTAAAACAAGATAGTTTTTTTTCCTCAGGCAGACGTTTATAATATCTCACTTGTTTATCTGTCACATTGTTGTGGGAGACATGAACAACATAATTGTATGTGTGACAAAAATAGAAAATATGTTATTATTTCTTAGTATGGTAGTTCATGTGACTATGTCTGTGAATATATGTTATCAGGGCCTACACAAGCTGTCGAGTATGATTGTGTATCGTGTATATAACACATTATTATTTTTAGGTATTATTGTGCATGTGAATGTGTATGTGTGTGTATATATGTGACTTTATTGTTGGGGGGGCTGCACAAACCATAGAGTATGGTTGTGTAAGTGTATGACAAAAACAAAAAAATATTGCTTAAATTCTTGGTTTAACAACTTAAAATCCTAGGAAATTACATGTACGGAACAAATCTAAAACCTACTTAATTACTTATTAAATAACTTAAAAGTACAAACATAAACATTGTGCCACAAAAACCAACAATTACTAATATCGCCAATAGAAAGGAAATTCTTGAGGATCTTGATTATAATTCGACGTCGTATCGATCATACCACCCCACCCCGCATCAGAATCATTCTCCAAACTTATTGTTGCAGAGAAGGAACCAGATGGAGGGTGCACCACATGGCTAAAAGATGCCTCTGAAGATGACAGAAGAGAGGGAGCATGGTCCAAGTGGCTCCACAGAGAGCTCGTGGTCATGGAAGCCATGGCTGTGTGCACCGGTGGACCACTTGGCTGCACTACACCGGTGCCATGATGATTCGCCGGAAAAAGATATGGTCGAGGCTTTCTTCTTCTCCGATTATGCCCGTCAAGTCGCTTTCTGCAACTCCGTTTTCCTTCGTCAAATTCATCTAGCGGATGGAACCTGTGAATGGAATCAGTAAACAGTAATTATCATAATTAAACTCGTTGATTCGTAAACCTCTCGAAAACCCTAAATTTGGAAGTGAAAAAGTATACCGACTACACTGCTGGCAGAATCGAAGCTTTTCGGTTTTGATTGAAACCTCTGGGCTCTTGGAATGGACTTCGCAAACCTTATGACGCTGGTGATACTTTCTGCAGTTGCTAAGGTCCGCCGTGCAGCCATCGACGACGCAGGTGGCTGCCTGAACTGAGTTATTTATCGCCGAACATACCCTTTTCGATGATCCTGAAGGTGACAATGCCATCTATGATCTAACTCGTTGCCTCTGTAAATTACTTGATTCACTAAAATCCAATTTGAAAACAGTGAAATTGACCGATGGGGATTTACAAAATCAAGATATATTATGTATATATAAAGATTAAAGAACTTACGTAGAAATGATTCGAGAGTGTTTTGTTTTTGAGCTTGACAACCTTCCGATGGATAAAGAGAGTAGTAGTTAAAGACAAAGAGCCAAGAAGTTGAAGTTGAAGTTGGTGCAACATGTGAAGCTGTGTCCCCTTCTCTGGGACCTTTCATCGAACACATCATGGGCACATTTTGGACTATGCAGATGGCACTTCATCAAGAATAATGCATCGAAACCAGAGAGGACAGGGTTCCAAATCGATGGTAGTGGGGAAGTTCCTATTTATGGTAATATGTAGAGTTTCTTTATTGGGGTTTTGTATATAACTTGGTAAAGAGAGCCGAAAAAGACAAGGAGTTAGATGTTTTTAAGATAATTTTAGTGCAATTTTGGTATAAAACTGACAATAAATCTCTATATTTAATTCTTTATCGGCATTATTGTCTTGTAGAGTTGTAGGTATAGGTAAAATAATGTATTATCTTAGAGTTTATAGGATAATGTTAATGCATTCTTGTAATAAGTATTAAGGAAAATGACTAGGATAATTATCTTTTTGATTTCTTCATGTATAATTTTTTTTATATATATTTGACAAATATATATATATATATATATATATATATATATATATATATATATATATATATATATATATATATATATAATTGTGAAATATATATAAAAAAATTATACATGAAGAAATCAAAAAGATAATTATCCTAGTTATTTTCCTTTATACTTATACCAAGAATATATATATATATATATATATATATATATATATATATATATATATATATATATATATATATATGAGACTATGTTAATTTTATAACACCATGAGACCAAATCTAAAAATAATTTCAAAATGCAAAATAAAATAAAAAAATCCAAAAAAAAAATTCATTATTATTTTCAGAACTTTAATTACTTAAAAAAATAAAAATAAAAAAATTACCGGTTTTTTTTTTTAAATACGTGAAATATTCTAATAGAATACTACACTGTAAATATTCTAATGTGCTTTTTAGAATGTTAGAATATTATACTAGATTTCTCAGATATGTAGAATATTCTATTTATTCTACTAGAATATGTAAAAAATGTATTTTTTTAATATTTTTTTGGTAGTATTTTTTTTTTTTTTGGAAAACATAAATTCCGAAAATAATATTTGAAAAAGAAAATTTAAAAAATTTTAGATTATTTTGCATTTTAAAAATATTTTTTGTTTTATCTACCAAATGAATGACTATGATTGTATCTTACGGTCTCACAAAATTAGGTCGTCTCACATGAATCTTCGATTAATCCCTAGGCGTTGCTCGACCGATTAGAAAGCGCCTAGCGATTAATCAATGCATACAAAATGACTGAAATAGTAGAACCCGATGGAATTTTAACACATTGAATAAGTTATATCTCAATAGAAACTATTTGAGGTATGATTAATGTTGTATTTATCATATTAACCTATTTTGTTATGATATTAGTGGTATTTATGAACTTTTATACGATATTAGTCCTATTTAATTTTGTAAAATCTAACAAATTAACAATTAATGGTCCCTGATTAATCCCCCGATTAATCTTGTCTAGCCTATTAATCCCTTAACCTCAGTCCACCGACTAGCTAACGTCGAACGATTTTTACAACCTTGATATATATATATATATATATATATATATATATATATATATATATATATATATATATAAAAGAGACTATGTAAAATATTTCACAAACCAAAAACATATTTATTAATTAAAACATAAAGTTTAGAATTCATCAATATTTAGTTAATATTTAGAACATTATGGATACTTTAAAAATAACGTTTGGAAAAAATAATACATGCAAAAATGAACAATAAAATCGCTATTAAAAGTGGGAAAATAACTTATCATGGTAAATAAGTTTTCGTTTTGTTCACATTTAGACAGTTTTTGTTTTTATACATATTTGACTATTTAACTTGTTAAATATATTCAAATGGTACCATTGTTACATGAGATAGTCGGTAAGAATGATAATATGAGAACATATATAACAAATTAAATAGTTAAATGTGTACAAAAAACAAAGTTGGCAATGTAATTACTCTGACAAATCACTTTCCCTTAGTATAAATATATAATTAACAAAAATGACATTAAATCTCTATATTTGTTTTGGTGTTTTGTTGGAGTTTATAATGCAGTTTTGATGACATTAAATCTCTATATTTTATTCATTATTGCAATTGTTTCCTTGGAGGTGTAGGTAAAATAATGTGTTGTCTTATAATTTAGAAGAAAATGTTAATGTAATTTTGGTATTAATTAACAAAAATGACATTAAATATCTATATTATTGGCATTAATGTCTTGTAAGTATGGGTACAATATTGTGTACTCTTAGAGTTTTTATACAAAAAGAAACAAAAGTTAGGATAGGGACGTCGATGTAGCTTACACTTATAAGAAATCAGACGATATTTAAGGTATTAGGTCCAATAAAAAAAATACAATTAATTATATGGGTTATTGTCAGTGTAGTCTAACAAACTTTAGTATATTAGTTTAAATGGTCCCTTGTGATTATTTTTGCATTTAAAGGACACAAACTTGTATTTTTAGGTTTTAAAAGGTCCTTTTAGAAAATTTGAAGAAGGGTCACCCGGTGGTCCTATCCTAATCATCAATTTGCAAATGTCATATAACTAATCCACCTTATCTCTCTTTCTCTCTCTTTATTTCTTCTCTCTCTTTCTCTCTCTCTCTCTCTCTATTTTTCTTCATTTTTCTCTCTCTAGACAGTAGCCACTGAAGATATCTAGTTGGAAACAATATCGTACCCACCACCTTCTTCTTCCCTGTCTTCATCCATCTCCGCCACAAACTGTAGTCATTCTTGTGTTTCTTGAAGTGTTGTTGGAACTCACCATTGTTGTTATAGCCAATCTACAACCAGAGCTGTCTAGGTGGCAACTCTAACCTAAGTGGAAAAAGCTTGTCATTCACTGGATTCCTAGAGCACACGATTATATCATATATCTATGTTTGTTCTTCCAAATTCAGAGTCAAATCCTCTAATGTGTGCCCCTTAAATGCAAAAGATGTTTCTTCATAACCATCATCAACGTTCCTATCGTCATCCACCACCGTGTAATACACCATCCTCCCTTCCTTCTTTGCATTTGGTGGATCATTTCCCTGCATTTCCATAAACACGTGGTGTACATCACAACAAGTGAGACAAAATCACAAATCCAAATGTGTAACAATGAATGATGATTTGAACGAGCCTCAGTAGGGCCATATATAGAGCTTCTAAGAGAAAAGGGTGACGGATTTAGATATGGGTTTATCGTTTCAAATAAGGGAGACGACAATGATGGTTCCGCTAGTCTAGCTTCCATATTTTCAACATCCCACAATATCTAATCGTGAGGCCAATAAGGAATGTCATGAATAACTGAATTTCTCAATGGAGGTAACTAACCATTGGCTCGTAGATAATTTCTGTAACAAGATTTGAGACGAACTTCAAACTCATCTCGTATCGGTTCCCATTCGATTAAGGAGACTATCCTCTGGGGAATACTTTGAACAACTTTCCAACAGTGAAACGAATGATTACTTGATCTTCAGATGTGATGAGATACTTCTCGTAACTGGACTTCAATCGAAGGACATAATCGAAGCCTTCAACAAATTCAACCATCCAAATGTCTTTCTTTGTTGTTTCATTATGATCTTGTAGCAAACTTTCTTCGTCGCTCTCAACCAAGAGGTACTTTTTGTGGTGGCTCTTTAGTAGGACCGATTTCGCCTTCCTAAACAACCCCATTCTACTACTTTGAGATAGTTATTTACTGTTACTTTTTTATTAAAAATATGAGAAACAAATCATGGAATCACAAGAAAGAGTGGGTTTGAAGATTAGTTCCACTTCCACAATACTGAAATTTAAGCAAATTTACAAAGGGGGTGAACATGAATTGGGTGGTAGCAGAGGTCAGAAAGGGTGGTGGAACTCAACTTTCAGGCCACTTTGTTGTTTTCACATTACGACAGTGGAGCTCAAGTTTGCACAATCATAACCCTGGTGAAGTATTCTACTATTATGGAGTTTGAAACAAATGAAATAAAACTAAACTGATAAATTTATAAGTCAATGTTGACTCACATGTTTACTTGGCACTTCACAAAGAAATGTTACCTTCTAATGTGGGTAAAAGTACCAAAATGACTGGTAAAATACAAGTTCATACCCTTTAAAGGCAAAAAAAACCATGAGAGATCATTTAAACTATTATATTAAAGATTGTTGAGCTACAGTGACAATAACCATTGGTTATATTTATTTGGATTTGTGTAACATCCAAGTTTTGGTAAGTTTCTCTTTTAGTCCTCAATTTAAATTCTTTTCAAATTTGGTCATTTGGTTAGTACACGGGGAATACTGAATGGGTATGCTTAGCGTACTAGCCATGAATGGGTCGCGGGGAGTACGTGGAGTATACATGGCATACTAGCCATGAATTGGTCGCGGGGAATACCGAGACAAACCTTAATTTTTAGGGTTTTCACCCTATTTAAACCTCATTATAGCCTCGTTTGGACATGTTTAACCAACCACCACCCTTCATTGTCCCAAAAACAAAACGCTAGAGTGATTTGGTGAACTTTGAGCTTGATAAAGAGATTTTGAAGTCTTGAGGTGAAGAAGAAGAAGAAACCTTGAAGAATTTGATTGAGCTTGTGTATCCAATATCATTTCCACTTTTGCAAACTTTTGAGGTAAAAAGCTTACACCTTTGTGCTCTTCTATGTTAGATCTAGTTCATGGAGCATTTGTGCACTTTTTGAGTCATTTGTGTTAAAGGGAAGCTTTTGATCTACTACAGAGGCAATGTATGCTAAATCTTAGCTCTATTTAGTGCCTAAGTCCATAAAAATGCAAACTTTATTGTGTATCTTGACCTATGTATGTATTAAGACCTTTGTTAAGCTCTTTTTGAGCTCTTGAGCCCATTAAGCCATACATGCATGTAAAGTTGTCAACTTTACATGATAAGTCACCTTTAGGGACCAGATCTGTGAGTTTTGGTAAAGGACTTAGCGGGTTAAGTGCTTAATGGAGTAAGTTGGCACACTAGGGAGTACGCAGGGCGTACCTAGTTGGTATGCTGCACGTACTAGCCCCAGATGGAGTATGTTAAGTGTACGAGCTGAGTACACCCTACGTACTCAACAGATGGGACTCTGGGCTTAGCATCCTTAGTATTGGGCCATAGTGTGGATTTGGAAGTTTGGGCCAAGTTGGGCCATTTGATCTCTATTTTGGGCTTTGGGTTGGCATGTTGGGCTACGATGGATTTTAGGCCCATGATGGGTATTGTGCCCAATTTGGAAGATTGGGCCATATATTCGACTTTAGGATTTGGGCCTTTGAAAAGTTGAGTTGGGCCTTGGTTTTGGGCCAAGTTAGATAAAGGGTAAATGTTGAATCGATTGTTGAATCGAGTTTGACCTATGTTGACTTTAGGGTTAAGGCCAATCATGAGTAATGGAGACCATGAGGGGTAAAATGGTATTTTATCCACTTCAAGAGTTAGATGGAGAAAAAGAATAGCCTTTGGTGTATTTGAGTGTGACTATAGTATTAATTAGAGATGTTATCCCATGTGTTAGGCGGAGGCTAGTTCGAGATTTCCGAGTACGAGGCTGTTACTTGCTAGCTTGCGAGGTGGGTCTTCTCAATGTACTTTACCTAGAGTGGTACTTATGTGTGACCAGAGGGTCTTAACTCTTATGTGCTTACTTGAGTTATGTATTTTGTCTGCATGATATATATATATATATATATATATATATATATATATATATATATATATATATATATATATATATATATATAATGTTATGTGATATCGAGACCGGACCGTAGGGTCCAACGAGCTGTGACACCGAAGGGTCCTCACTGAGACTGGACCAGAGGGTCCAACGAACCATGGGACTGGTCCCACTGAGACACATAAACCAGAGGGTCTTACAGAATTATAGCCTCGAGTGGCTAATGTGTTGTAAATGGTATTTTGGGGAACTCACTAAGCTTTGTGCTTACCGTGTTGTGTGTTATGTGTTTCAGGTTTTTCTTAGGATCACGGGAAGATACCAGCTTGATTGTACATACCAGTGAAAGAACTATGTTTCGGGGATCCTGGACTTAATCAGACAATTATGGAGTTGTGATTTGTAATTTAAATAAATGAGATTTTTGTGAAATGTGTTTTGAGAATTATGCAATTTTTAAATAAAAATTTTATTTGAAAATTTACGGTGTTACATGTTCATTCACCATTTTTGACCGCTATTTCGACGATTGAATTTTGACGTGCTTATATGCGGATAGTCACGGAGGGTGGTTGGAATGTGATGTAAGTTATTACATTATTGGCCTGCTCATTTACATACTAAGCTACTACTAACATCATTTACTTAACTAAATATATTTTTAATTAGCAACACATCATGTTATGGATCTCATTACCGGTAGAGCGTAAACCAGATGACACTCGGTGGACGGTTGTACTAACATCTTTCAACACTGATACATTTGACTGGAGTGACATGGCTAAAGGATCCATTTACCCAGGTTGGGCAGACTATAATACAATATAATTGTGTTTGGATTACATTACCTAAGTATGTATGTACTATAATGTTATTTCATGTTTAATTATTTCTAACATTTTTGTAGCTTTACATCCCAATCAATATACTAATTGCTCATTGGGCTTTGGGTGCTTTGAATTTGAAGACATTCGAAATGAAAATATACTATAGTAATTGGAAGAGCGATTAATTTTCAGAAACCAATGATTGGTTTATTGGTATGCGAGCCCACATCTACAGACTGTTAGTGAGTATCAACTTCTGGGGTACCGAACATAGTGATTCAATCTCACTTGAGATTTTCAACATGACCCTCAAAAAGGCGCCACAAGTACCACACCAGATTGACAGTAGAGGGGATTGTGTGTTGTTTTTGTGTTGCTTCCTAGAAGCGTTGTTCACCGGTAAGTCGTATTCTATAGACGATCAAAGCGGTCCATGTGTTATGCTATACAGTAAACGATTGACGGAAATATTTTGGGGTAAAAGGAATAAGATGATGAGAATAGTGTAATATTACTTCAAACAAATCCCTTATTTTTATAAATTTATTTGGTTTTTGTTGATTTTAAGATTACTAGTTGCATTTTAGATATTATATAAACAAAACGTCTACAAAAAAAAAAAAAAAACAGAACACATTTACACAAAAAACAATAAAAAAAATATTAAAAAACCCTTCCGAAACTGTGTCCGAAATCATACTCTAGTGTTCCGAAGGCCTATTTGAAATGAGGTATGCATTTTATAAATGGAAAATAAGTAATCTAACCCTTAAAAACAAGTAAATTGTATTTCGGAACCATGGTTTGGAATCGTACTCCGAAATTCCGAAGAACTCTCCGAAACCATGTGTTCTGGAGAATGTGGTTACTTTACAAAAAAAATGGTCATTTTTGTCACAGAGGTCATTTATATGGGTTAGATTACTCAATATCCCAATAAATAATTAGAAATTAATTTTGTTAATGTATTATTCATTACAAGTTTAATAAATAATTATAAATTAATAGAATAATTATTTATTAAGAGTTAATAAATAATTAGGTGGAATTAATTAGGCCTAAAATAAGTAACCTATTTATTTGGAATAATTAATATATGATTTTAGAAGGATATTTACTAAGGAATAAAATAACATTATCTTTAGATTTAAATTAAGAAAGTATTGGTTTTCACCACCAATATAAAAGAGAGGATCCTTAAGGCTTCAAAAGACTTTTAGGTGCCGTTTGTTTTTAAAAAAGAAACCACTTCAGACCATTTATTGTTGCGCTGCGCTGCGCAGCACACGTGCAACACTTGGCCTTTCGTAGCTGTTTGTTTTCCTGAAGACTTCTGACTTAAAAACTGTTGCGCGTGTGCTGCGTGGCGCAACACTAAACCAACCGCTTCAAACCTCTTTGCGCCTTACTTTAACTTATTGCAGACGTTAAAAAACAAACATACTTTTTTATTAAATGTTGCAGCCTTTTGTTCCACCTTTTCTGCTACAGAGGATTGTAGAGGTGGTCTGTAGACTTAAGACATTTTCGTTTCTAAAAAACAAACAGCACCTTAGAAACTTCGAATCGATTACCTTAGGGCTGAATTTCTCATCCTTCCTTTCCTATTGATCGTCGAGATAAAGAAATCCACATGATTCTTTTGTGGTCGATTTCGTCATACTACACAACTAGGGTGCTTATTTGCTTGGCTTGTCAAGGGGTGTGATATTTTAATATGGACGCTGATTTGGGTCCATGATCTTCCAAGAAGGGTTATGATTGCTATTAATAGAAAGAATCATGGCCAATGGTTTAATCATATTTCTCAATATACTAATATAACCAATATCACACAATCCAACTAGCCCGAATCAATTCTAGTGATCATTATAATACTTTCCAGTATTATTTCAACATGTAATAATGTATTAACCAACTTAATGCTTAACATTTCATAGCTTTTCACTTTTAATCAAATAGATCCTTTTACATTAAAATCCACACACAACACTTCTCAATCAAATTTTTAGGGATTTTATTTTTCTAGTTTACCTTTTTGGATGCATGTCGAGTTATTTTGAACAAAATATTTATATCAACATCCATCATTAAGAAATCAACTAAACTTATTTTTTAAAACCTGGTTGTTGGTTAATTTAATGTATGTATTCAGTTGGATCTA